AGAAAAGAAAAGAAGAGAAAAGAAAAGAAAAGAAGAGAAAAGAAAAGAAGAGAAAAGAAAAGAAAAGAAAAGAAAAGAAAAGAAAAGAAAAGAAAAGAAAAGAAAAGAAAAGAAAAGAAAAGAAAAGAAAAGAAAAGAAAATGTCAAAAGGAAAAGAATGTGAGAAGGAAAGAAAGATTCCCCTAGCCTCCTGTTCTAGAAAACCTTAAAGTTATATAGTTAAGAATCTGTGTTAGGAAATGGCGAGGAAGCCTCTTCAAGTAATCTTAACTCTGCCTCTTTACAGGGGTTTGTTACAATACTCATTAATTCTCATTAATGATTAATCATTTATACTCATTAATGATCACATAGTATTTTTCCACTAATATAATATAATATAATTTTATGTGACCTTAGATGCATCTACTTAGCACCTTGGAATCTATTTATTATTTTTTACTTTCAGTGTATTTTTTACTGTAATAATGAAACACTTATGTTTATTAACTATGACTTTGATTTAATAACAACATATAATTCTTATAATTCTTTCCTAGGCTATGCCCACTTTGGGACTCTGAAGTAAAATTTAAGCAGCTACCTTCTCTGGCTTCAATCTAGCTAGTTTGGGCTCTATTTGCCCAGAAGAGATAGCATGACTCAGTCCCTCAAGGAAATATAAACAGATTTCTTGTGGACTTTTACCTTCATGTGTTGAAGTCCATGCTTTTGCTATTGTTCTTTGCAGTACCTATGTAAAGCTAACTCAGGTGTATCACTGTGTTGCAATCACCAAATCCTCTAGCTGCTGTGCAGACAGACCAAAGATATGAAATTTCGCAATCTGGACACAGATACTTAAGAGTATGAAACACACTGCAGATTGCTGTTTCATGTAGAGCTGGAGTCCTTTCAGACAGATCTAAAATTATGGAGGAGAAGTTTGGGTTGGCAATTGTAATTTATATAGTTCATGAAGCAAAAAAAGCATAGCATTACCTTAGCACACTTAGTTACAGTTGGATCATGCATTCTCAGCTCTGACAGGAAAATCCTGTAGATCCAAAGAACAAAGCCAAATTGAAGTGATCTGAAAAGAGGTGATGGGAAAGATGCTTGAGGCCAGAGCTGAGGAAGGCATGTGATGGAGGAAGGAATAAAGGAGCTCAGAAAATCAATGTTTGGATAGAGCCAGGTTTAAGACTTGAAAAAGGACAAGGTTAAGCAAAACAACAGTAAGGAGAAATGTGAGAATCAGAGGAAGGCATAAATTACAAAATGGAGCAAAAGGATCTTTCAAAATGTTTACCTTCATCCCACAGAACAATTGAAGCAGGTGGTTCTTAATACTCCAAAAATAGATTTTCTATTAAAAGGCTTAAAAAGGGATCATTAAAGCTGAAATGAACCTGAAAAAATGAAACATAGGTTAAGGTAACAGGCAGTCATCTAGTGTGGAGAAAAGTTATGAAAAAGATGCAAGAAATCAATTTCCAGTTCTTTCAGGCAGTTTGTAGGTTTTTTTTTTTTTCATTTCACATAATTATTTTCCTTCAGAATATTTCTCTTTCTAGATGATCTTGCAAGTTCTTGTTGATTTCATGCAGACTTTGGATCATGTACATTTGACTATACTCCTCGCCATAAAATTTTGGTACAATAACAGAGGATATTTGCTGGCAGTTTTCAAACACTTCCAGTACTGTTGCAGAATCAGACGAATGTTTTTCATCCATTGGTTTGTAATTGATCTGAGAGCTTTTTAAATTAATTAGGTAAATTTGCTCCATTAAAAATTGAGAAATAAATTGACTACCTAGTGCAAAATTGCCCTAATCTGCAGTTCAAATGAATAGAAAATGCAAAGAGCTGAGCAGTAGTACAGAGGGAAGGCAGTGAGTATGGAGAGGTAGTATAGAAGTGTCCTGCTTTGGGTAGGCTAATGGTGATGGCAAAAACAGTGCTGTTTCTTCAAAACCCACAGAGGTGGTCTGGATTAGTGTGTACAGTAAATCTAGCAGACTCACCATCCAGAATTTTATTGCATGCAGGAGCTCATGGGGATTGCCACATTACCAGAGTATAATGAGCTGTTGGAGTAATCTCATGATTTCTTTAGTAACATTGACCACAAAATGACCTGTCAAAAATGATCCTGTCATTTGGAGTGCTAAAGATATGTTTTCCTTCAGGAAAATAAAGGTTTTTTATTGGCTTCTTGACCAAAGTAAGCTTTGGATCTTTTAAAGTTTAACATTATTATTATTGTAATTATTACTATTTTTCTAGAGGGGGATGGATTCAGTGTGAGATTTTAATGAACAAAATATTCAAAACCTGATTCAGTCCTATGCATCAAAAGCGAACTCTTTGAATAAGAGATGTGGAATTTGGGGAAAAGGATAGATAACTCCTTTTTCTGCAACACATCTGTTTTACCATTTCACTAGACAGTATCGCTTATTTAAAGTGTAGGGTGTTTTGTACAGGTAGAGGGTATTTTCTTTGAGGTTGGAGTTTTTTTTTGTGGGTGGGTAGCATTTATATGCATTTTGGCTAGAAATTGTATAACAGACAATGGTAGCTACATTACCTGCTTAAAATGAATTAATTAATGTGCAAATTGATGGTAATACTTTCCTTAAATACACAAAGATAAATTGTTCAAGTTAGTCCTATATTTAGTTTTCCAGTGTGTCATTTTATCTTCATTGCCAAGTGACTGACCTGCACTCAGATTGAGTAGGAAAAAATTACTGAGCATTGAAGAATGTCGCAGAGTCACACATCCTCCTTAGCTACCTCTTCTGGAAGGATGTCTCTGCCTTCACAGTAGAGGAAAATTATTAAGGAAAGCCACAGATGGAGGGAACCTCATTGTTCACGAAAGCCATTCCCTTATAATTTTCAAGCAAAAATACAGAAGTGTACAGACTTCTTTCCAAAATGCCTCATTAATTTTTTTTCATCCTGCTTTTGCTAACATCATGCTCCTTGATGCTCTAAGGAACACTCCCAGCTGCTCCCCTGTGATATGGTCTCCTTGGCTTGACTTGAAATGAGACATGGGTTTTGCTGTGCCCTAGGGTCTGTAGTTCAAATACTTTCCTGTATGTTGTTAATGGGGGCAGACAACTCCCTCTGTAAAATACAATGCTTGTTCTCTCTTGATTCATGTGCTTCACAGGGACACAAGGTGAGGATACCCTTCTAAATACGAATCAGTGGCACAGAGGTAAAACATTAGTCTGAATTAGTACTGTAACTACAAGTCACAGAAAATATGAAACGGATCTTGGAAGGTAGCAAAAACATATTACTGAAATGACATATACAATGAGGTTTGTGCTGCTCTGGATGTTTGTTCAAAAGGAAAAAAAAAAGTGAAGCTCCCTGAAGCAGGATTTTCTGAGATACCACTGTGGTAGCTAAGCAACCTTACGTTAAGTAACATAATAAAATTAACTAAAACATTTATTCTTTCAAGTATGAGCTAGTTCCCTGTTCTCCAGGATATGACAATTATATAAGACAGTCTGAAAGGAATTCTATCATCACTGTTTCGGCATTTAATTCCTGTCTTTCACCCTTGATTAAATCAATGAGAGCTAGACACCAGGGTGTTTTTGAAAAACGTATTAGGTGTGCCTTTTTTACCTAGAGGCCATGAAATACTTTAAAAATCTGGTGTTTAGACATATGGCTACTTCAGAAGTATACATTAAAATGAGTTGTGTGGCTTTAACTGCTATTCTGCATTTTGACATATCCTGGAGTAAGAAATTGGTAATTTAAAGCTCATCTTGAATACAAGCTGATCTATGTATTACAATTACCAAATATACACTTTCTTGTAAGACTCTGATGGCCTGTCTCTTGACTACTATTGGCTGTATAGGACAGCCTGATGACACTGTGCTCTTGACCATGGTAGAGACTGCAGGCAGGATATCACCCATGTTATTCACATCATGTACAATTCTCCCAAATCTCACTCCCATTGGTGGAACCAGTGGTGGAACCAAGGGGTGCTGCGATTCTTACTCAGATTCCAAAGATATTTGCATGGTTGACTTGTGGCCAGATGACCAAGTGTCCCTGGCACTCCACCACAGACAAGGTATCAGTTATGATCCTATTACAGATTGTGTTTCCTATTAGGGATTGTGAAAGTTGCCTTATGGGCATGCTGTTGCTTGTCTTTTCTACTGTCTCAATAAAGCTTTATTTTACAATGTGTTGTCAGACTGCAGTACTGTCCAAACTGCAAAGCCTTAGAACTTGTATGCTGATTATAATTCAGATAGCTGGGTTGGAGAAAAAAATTATTGCAATTTCCTTGGAGTCAGCATAGCTTGATAGGTAATTATTGTGGGGCACCCACCTTGCAGAATTTCAGGAGTATTTGTATGGTATACTTGAAATATTGCACCAGGAGATTTTTGTTTAGCAGTCATGAGTTTACCTTCTTACATTCATTAACAGGATAAAATATTGAAGCTGCTTCAAAAATTTTCTAATAAGAATACATTTTTGAAGGTACATATAATTTTCAAATATTCACATATAATCAGATTTAAAATGTGTTCATTTTTTCTCTATCACAGGGCTTCATCCCACCCCAGATGCACCGTAATGAAATCCTTCGCTGGATGAGTAATTATGAATTCTAGGAGAAATTATTCACTTAGCTTTGGATTTGACTCTTTGTGATATTCTCTAACCAACAATGAGAATATTTCTTTCCATGGTATGGAATGACAGTTGATGCAGGTTCTTCTAAATCCACCACCTGCTCTTTAATTTGCCTTTATGTAGATAAAAACATTTTTCATAAGGAGATGTCACGCTTCTATTTGATAATGTATTTTATTAAATGCAAAACAGTGAAGTTAAAGGTCTGGATTAAACCAACAAAAGTAAATTTACCTCCTCATTCTTAACTTACTCCATATGACTAGTTAATACAACACATAATAAGAAATTTGGCCACTGCACTAAAACCATTGCATTATCATTGAAACCAATGAAATTGCCTTAAAAGCTATACTATTAAAGCATTCCCTTCATTATTGTCTACTTATGTCATTCTCATAATTAGTTTTGGTTTTGGGTTTTGTTGTCGCTGTCATTTTGGGGGATTTTTTGGGTTTTTGCACTAGCTTATATACATACCAGTTGCTATCAGAGCATGCAAAAAAATTACAATTCCTGTACTTTTCATGTATTAAAAAAAAAAATTAAGTCAAATCCCATGTGCTAAATCTGATTGGGAAAAAAAGTGTGAAGTTTCAGCATGAACATGAAGCATAACCAAATCTACCTCTACAGCTTTTCCTGCTTTCCATCTTCCCTTCATTCTTTGATTTATAGTTTCTCAAGGTTTTCCAAGCACCTCTGGAGTTTTAGATTAACATTCTATGATTATTTCCCATTAAAAACTAGAGAATGCTTTTTATTTCCAGTTTAGCCTCTCCTCTGTTATATTTTATACCTTATTTCATGTTCTATTTTTTTTTCCATCTTCCTTAATATCTAATTATTTTAGTTCCCTTTTATATTACCTTTCTTCACTCATTTTTAATCCTTTTCATTTTAATTATAATTCTTCAATTTCTGATTATTTATTGACAGCCTTTAAATCAGCTTTCTTTCACCAGCTAAAATTTTGCATCTTGTTACTTATCATGATTTTCTTTCTGATGGGTGAGACATGGCAATCTCAAGGTGGACTGTGAAGACCTTCCTGTGCATTGCCTGCTGAGTGAAACTACCTGATCCTACTGCTGGTTTTCGGAAGGTTGAATGTGAATAATCAGGTCCCAATTTACCCAAGGTAACATTGAAATTCAAATCCATTTTTCCATAGCTGTTTCTGAAGTCATCCTCCAATGTGACACTACCTGGTATTCTACTCTCTAGCAATTAAAACTTATTTACAGTAGCAGCTGGGACTGAGACCATGTGGAGAAAGTCCCAAATCCTTGCTATCTGTGGTAATGTACCTAAAACCTAATGGCAATACTTGAAAAACCTATTCAGAAATTCGGATAAATTGGTTTTCAAAGTCATAGTTCTGTCTAGCTTACCATGTTTTCCCTTGGTTTGGCTTGGTCTATTTTCTTTTCAACAACAACAAAAATCCCCAATGGTCTCATCCTCCAAATAAAAAAAAAAAGCCTTATTGTAATCCTTGTCAAGATAAATAGTTTCTTCCTTGAAAAATAGTTGCTTGCTTCCAGAGCTATTTCCTGTGATAAGCATTTAGGAAACAAAGAATAAAAAAATATCACAAATTACCAATTATAACATTTCTATTGCCAAATTTTTACTTAAAGATGAAATTGAAGGACAATTTATGTACAAAGAAAGCTGATAATTAGAGGACTTTGTATATGTGCATAATTGCAACAAACTCCTTTAGGCATAATTCAAACATTTACAAGAGGGAAAGGGCTTGTGTATTGGACATGGTGTGTCAGTTGTAGGTTTTTTGTTGGCAAAAATTGTATTGTCTTTCTCTGGATATGTAAGGAATGAAAAATAGAGATCTTTTTTAAAGTCCCTACTAAAGGCTTTCGTATTAGGTCATTGAGAGGATGGTTGGATAAATAATGAAAGAAAATATTGTTTTGTAGATGACATATTTTGAAAACCAGTAGTGATTTTAATTTTAATTTTAATTTTTTTTGTTTGAAAAACCCTTTTTTTCTGATGACCACATATTTTTCTAGAACCTCATTTTCTTTCATAATTATTATTGCCCTTTATAATAGGCATAATTTTCATGAACTTAACAATAACTATTTTTGATGTGTGAATTCTTGTTCTTATGATTACTCCTACTGAAGAAAATCTGGTTTATTTTCAAAAGGTGATTTATATGTTTGATATTTCCTTATATTATTTTTTGTGATTGTTTTCAGTTTCATAATGACCTCTGAAGACAGATCTTAGTCTTTTTGTAAATGAAAAAACAAACTAGTGTTTTCCAAAATTTATGGAAGGAATAATGGCTCTTTCAGCACTTAAAAGAATTTTAATATGGGAAAAATATTTGATGTATAGATAATCTACACAGAATATTTTTTTGCAGATATTTAGATATGATCTGAATAATGTTTACAAAACCAACATTACATCAGTATTTAGATGAGAAGTTATACGTTAAACTATATGTCACTACTGGCATTATGGAAAAAAAAATATAGGGGACCAGATTTTCATACAGTCAGGGTAGAAAGCATAAAGGCAGTAGTTCAGAGTTATTTTCATAGATTTGTGACAGCCAAGAACTCTTAAAATCTCAGCTGTATAAAACAGTAAGGACAAAATTTTCTTGCCTGATCAGACAAGTTAAAAATTTGTTGAAGAAGGGTAGAGCCTTCTGCAGACCCTGTGTGTCATGTGACAGCTCATGCAGATGAGTTGGAGACTTTTGGACTTGCTAATGGGACCAGGAGCTTGTGTTTAAGCCACTGAATCCCCATGAAAAGTTTGATTCAGTTCCAGATGATGCCTGCACATAAGTATCTCCATATGGGTTAGATATCAATCAGTACTTTTGTTGCGGTTTATGGACATCTACTGAGAATAGCAGGTGTAATAGAGAAACATTAATCTGACAATAAAATCTTCAACTAAAAATGATAATATTCACCATTGTGAAATCATCTGAAGTATTTTAGCCATGATGAGTTGTTCTTTATTTTGATACTGAGGTCTCCTTGGAGAAAAACATTCCTGCTGGGGAAACTTCTGGTAATACTTTACTGACTTCCTCTCAGCTATTCTATCTTGGCAGAAGCTTGAAACAGTTTCTGTTTCAATGCCACTTCTTGAATCGATGAAAAGGTGTCATAATCATGTTTACAGAATGTACTCTTGTCCGTGGTATCAAGCATATGGCATGATAAACATTGTACCTACCATATGGAGGTTGAATATTACAGGAAGTGTAACTCATTAGCCATGTCTGTACTGGTGATTAGATTTAGTATGCACATACGTTCTGCATATTACTGTGGTTGTAACTATAAGTAGGACACTTAGAGTCTGTACTTATTTACTCCACAATGTCCTCCAAGAAAATTCCCTCCTTCCAGCTGGGCCAGTAGAAGTTCCAATAACTTTGTCTCAGCTGGAAATTGCTCTTTGCAATAAATCATGTTCATTTCATGCTTTGATGAACCATACTGAAATGTGTCAAAAAAACTCCCCCAACAACTTAAACAAAGCAAATTCTTTCTATAATCAGCATAGCATATTTTGCTCTAATAACTAAGAAAAAAATCCAACAATTGCAAACAGTGATATAAATAAGAGTTTGTAAAAAACTCCTTATATGGCATTAAAACTCCTTATATGGCATTGAGCTGTGCTTTGTACCGGCTAAAGTGCTAAAGGCTTTTTCTATGCGTTTGAATGTTGCTTTGTCTATGTCAGCAGACAAGGGTATGACATAATTGTTCAGTCATATGCACTCAATAGTCTTAAAATGAGGGGTATTTCAAATAATGTGTTCATCCTAGGGGCATCCAGAAATTTTTTACTTTTTAATGTTTTCCTTGATAGTAGATTCCCCAAAGGATAGCAAGTCTGATTATTATTGCAATTGTATAAATACTGTGTTGGAAATTAAAATAATTGTCAACCATATTTGCAAAAGTATTCAAATTAAGGAATAGTTCCAAAGAAATGTGAGGACAAAGAACCCTGTGTAGAAGTTAATAATCTATATTTTCTCAGTGGTAAATATGAGCTTTGACTTAAAGATGGCAGTCACTGCAAGATGTTTTGAATTATCATCCTCTACATCCCTGTGGTCGTGACAGATTTTCTATCCCCTTTTGACACACTGGTTTCAATTTTCTAGACAAATGGAACTAGACTGCACCCATTGGTGACAAGGAAAGTCTTACCAATTTCTTGTCTACCAGGAAAGGATAACTGAAAGAGAAAAAGAGAAACATGATATTCAACAGAACATAGATAGATAGATAGATATAGATAGATATAGATATAGATATAGATATAGATATAGATATAGATATAGATATAGATATAGATATAGATATAGATGATATAGATATAATNATAGATAGATATAGATAGATATAGATATAGATATAGATATAGATATAGATATAGATATAGATATAGATATAGATATAGATATAGATATAGATATAGATGATATAGATATAATCAATCAAAATATCTGATTTTCTCAATGTGACAGTAGCACCTTTCTGCTTCCATTTTTCTTTTCTTAATTATTTAATATGTTACAGCAGAAGCAGATTCATTTAATGTTATACATTCCTTTTGGATTGTTTGAAATAATTGGTATGGTATTTTGCACAACAGCTTAATTACTATACATGCAATAAACACGCGCAGTTCACATTGCAAGTGCAGGCATATTCTGGAATTACGAGAAATTCTTTCGATCTAGCTTTCCTTGATGAATTACAGACAGCACAATATATGTCTTTGGTAAGTGTCACTGTTATATAAGTGTAATCAAATTTTTAGAGTATGAAATAGTTGGGGAAATGTGCTTTTGGTGTAGTGGGAGTACCTCAGAAAAAAATGTAAATGCTGACATGTTTGAATGGCAAATTACTGAAATATCTGAAATCACAGAATCATAGAATGGTTGTTGTTGGAAAGTACCTCTAGGAGCGTTCTTGTCCCAAATCCCTGCTCAAGCAAGACCACCTAGAACGCACTACCAAAGAACACATCCATGTGGTTTTTGAGTATCATCAAGAATAGATACTACAAGCTCTCTGAGTGACAACTGACACATGAATGTGCCAGTGCTTGGTCACTATCATGGAAAAAAAATGTTTTCTGATTTTCAAATGAAGCTTCCTGTCTCAGTGTTTGACCACTGGCTCTGGTCCTTCTTCTGCCCTCTTTGCCATTGCCCCTCATCATGCCTGTAGGTATTTATACACATTTGATGAGATCTCTTCTGTGTACCCTCTTTTCCAAACGGATCAGGTTTACCTCTGAGGGATTCTCCAGTGCCTGGCTCATTTTTGCGGTCCTTTGTTGGGCTCTCTTTGGTATATCCATATCTCTCTTGATCTAAGAACTCCAGAACTAGGCTCAGCAGTCCATGTGTGGTCTCACCACAGCTGAGTAGCGGGAAAAGATCTTGACCTGCTGGCAACATTGAAGAAAGTAGAAGGAAGATGGGAATAAAAAGACAGAAATAAGGAAAAATATAGCTATGTGCAATATTTTTCTTATTTTCTTTGTCTTAAGAGTCAGGAGAGGACATATTTTCAGCCATGCAAGTGTTTATTATGAAGGTACAAAATAGTTCGAAATTAGTCAGTTCACTACCAACAATCTCATAGTAATCTAGATGTTGAGCATTTTTTCATAACTTTATAAATTATTTATATTACAAATAATGACTATACACTCAACAATACTCGTTTACACCTTGTGGAAGTATATGCTTCCAAAGTACCTTATGAAACTTGTCATTATTTAGGTGGAGAAAATTATGCAAAAAAATGTTAAGTGGTTTGCCAAGAGTTTCAAAGTAAGCCAGTTGCAGGCTTAAAATAGAACTGAGGTCTCCAGGGATCCATCTGATATCCTCTCTATAGGAATACATTTTGCGTTGGACATTGGTTAGAACAATTCCATTTTTCATTTCAATTATAAGTTAAAACTAGCATAATTAATACTTATTGGATCTCTTATATTTTCCAGCTTGCTGATTAATCTAAAAATATGCAGATATATTTTTTTTAGATATAGATATGATGTAATGAAGGTTAAATTTGAATATATTTTATCTTTAGGTCCATTTGTTGGATTTCAGCATCCCTTAAAAAAAGACCCAAACCAAACGAATCACAACACTACAAAACACAACAAGTAGGCTTTTTTTGCATTAATTGCACTTTATACTAATGGCAGATTTCTGCTTTCAAAGATAATTCCCAATAAATTCCCTTAGGGAAGGAAGTTCATCTCAACTTATAAATTCTAACTTCAAAGAGAATTAGCTCCAATGTGTTGCAAACAATTTTCAGGTGCCTGCAAATTCAAGTCTTTTGCAAATTTTACTTAAAGCTTTTAGATTACATTATTTATGACCTTTTGATGGCAAAGAAAGGCTACAAAGACTGTAAACTGAAAGAATACTTTTATTATTTTTCCTTAGTCCCCTGTATTCCAGAACTGTTATACCACCAACGTGTATATATGCTGCAAACATCACTGTCAGGTCAACATATAACTCTGTATGGAGGTGAATATTTATTTTCCAATTCACAGTTAGCTTACAGTTGCATAAGTAGACTGTAATCAGACAGAGGCCGTTCATACTTTCTGAAAAAAAAAGTGCTTCTGAAAAATGGATGTTGGATATTCTTAAATCCAGAAATTTAATAAAGAATATATCTGTGTTTAAAAGGATATAATCCCTCTCTGATCAAACAAATATTAGGATAATTCAAGAATCCTAATAAGCAAAGTAGTAACGAAAGAATTCTTTTAGACAACTGGTAGCATAACTATATCATGTAGATAATTTTTGTTATGTTTTGTCAAAGAATCTTAAATTTTTCCCTATCTTAACTTCTACAAATACAAATGACAGATCTCTTTCCATATTCTCTTCAATGACATTTGCAGTAAATTTAATTTATAATATTGTACCAAGTATCCACTGCTACACTGTCATTGAGATTATTGAAATGATAGTTCTGCTAGATAATCTATCAATCCAAACTGCAGGACTTGGGCCAATCTCGTCTATATTAAAATTACCTTCCCTGTAAGAAGGACATAATTCTTCTCCTTTCTTTCACAACTTTGCCTTCTGTTTTGAGTTTTATGAATAATTGCTTTCTACTGATCAAAACCAAATTCTAATATACTGCACAGATGGTCATTGATCACTATAATCACTAATGTATAAATAAAAATATGTTTATGTTTCAAACTAAAACTGACATCTCTATAATAAGACCTCATACACACAAGCTAGTACATTACTATACCATACCCAGAGAGGCTGATTGCTCAGCTTCTGTGAGAGATTTTCCAGCTGAAATATGGATCCTATATTAATGAAATATAGAAATATTAGTATATATTTTCTGTGCAAAAAACCCTCTATGTATTTGATTGTTAAATTAACTGAACCCTAGGATTCTCCATTAATTAAGATAGTACTGCAGGTATATATTTTAACCAAAGTACATTTACAACTTTGTCTTGGTATACCACTATAAACCTGTTTTCTAATTCTGTTTTAGATGAGAAATTGTCTGATATTCCCTTCCCAGTCTCTAGTGGATAATTCCCCATGCCACATGATCACCATGCAATTTAGGTACAATTGCTCATCTGTTGTTGACAAAGGTCATAAATAAATATATGGCAAGTCAGAACTGTGATGCACTAGAAATGCTCTGAGGGCTATTGGCCCTTAAAAAACTTAAGTAAATCTGAGTAAAAGGAGAGGAGAGGAGAGGAGAGGAGAGGAGAATTTAGTTCAGTGTTTAAAAATTACCTGAGCATGATTTTTTCTTTCTCATGCGTCATATAATCTATATTAGGTTTGACAAGTGTAGACCAACAGTTTAGAAATAAATGAAAACAGGTCTCTACCCTGAATGAAAACAGGTCTCTACCCTGAAATTCTCCATACTTTCTCTGTAGAGAATTTTTCCTTGCTGATTGTAAGAGCGGCTTCTAAGTGTAAAATCCAAACCAGGACCCCAAACCTATTTAAAAAAAACAACAAAACAACAACAACCACAAAAAAAAAAAAAAAAACCAAAAAAAACCCCCACAAAAACAAAACACAAAAAAACCCCACAAAAAAAACCACAAAACAAAACAAAACAAAAAAAAAACCTAAAAAAAAAAAACCTAATCAAAGCTTGTTACAGAAATGTCTAAATTGAAAATACTTATGGTTTGGTAAGATGTGAATATTTTGTATTTCTTTAAATACATGACTTTAGTTGATCCATTAACTAAGGTCTTCTTCCCAAACTTACTGTGCTGTATAATGTGCTTCTAAGATTAGGCTGCCCACACTGAATTCTGAAAGCAGCTCAAGTGTTGTAAGCATTGTCTGCTCTCCTTTTCCACATAGAAGCAAGGAAACTCATAGAAAGTAATAAAAATCTCAGTGGTTTGAATCTAACCTTGACAATGGTATAGGAAGAGCATTTTTCTTTCTTGGGATATTGTCTGCTTTCTTCTTATTGGACTTGAAAGGTTCCATTAAGTAGGTCGGGATAGTTCTCAATTCTTCTGCTCTTATGTGTTAGATTGTGAGACATAGAAAAAGGATCTTAGAATTTAATTATTACTTCCCACTCAGGAAATTTCCCAAGAAATTTCTTTGTTTTTTTCCTCTATCCATAAAGAGAATTTTTTGGTCACATTGGCAAATAATGCACTTCATTACTGCAATAGGAAAAGTGTTGTTATTGAGCAGCATTTTAAAGAAGGATTATGAAAAGAAAAAATCAGAAAATGCATTTTTTTATCCTCTTTGTATCTTTTTTTCTGTCCACTTTCTATTTTTTCCCTTCAAACACTACTTCCATTTTCTAAACCTCACTAATCAAAGCACCTTCTCTTTTCTTTAGGTGTCTCAAAGAGAAATGAAGCTCATGATTCATGCCACTTAAAAATGATGCCTTCCCAGGGCTACTGCTGAGGAAAAAAAAAGGAGAGAGTTTTGTCTACAGAGTGTTGGCCAAAATAAGGTATGTAAGGATGAACAGAAGAAACACTCTAGAGTGAAGAAAGAAATAGAAATTTGCAGATGAACATGATGTCTGACTGGCAACTACTTACCTGTGCAAGGTACAAAAGGTATTTGAAGAAAAGGAAACTCAGTCCCCACCTTTTGGTGCAGCAGAAAATGGTATATAGACACTGGAATATATAAAAGACAAAAAATTAAAAGTCTAACACTTGCCACCGGTTGAAGAGTGTGTAAGCCATTAACTGATAAAAACCCCTTCTTGATTACCCTGCACAGATGTGAATCTATGACTGAATCTTATGTAATTTCTCCATAAGAGCACAGTTTGATAATATTTTCTATTTAGTTTTTTATGCTATTTTTTATTATAGAGCTTTCCAAAGTAATATCTAAGTTTCTAATGGGCAAGTTGTGGGCCAAGTCAATTCCTATTGCTTTCTATTGTTTCAGCAGCAGAGATCTTCCTAACAGATCTCTTGGAGTGCTCCAATCATGTCAGTGAGATACAAAGTCAAAAGCATTTGAGTCCTGGAACCAAAAATCTCAAAATGGAAAAGCAAACCCACAAGCTTTGCTTGGTGAAACAATGAGAGGTCTCCTCCTGAGTTCTGCCTGGATCAAATTCCTCTATTACTGTAATAGTGATATATTGCCCTCATAACTGATGCTTAATGGCTATAAATATTGATGTCTGCCCTCTTCCAATTATGACTAAACCCAAATTGCATAAGAGAAGTTTACTTTAAAACATAGTTAATATGCAGAACAGATTTTTTTCCCCTGTCAAGAGAGCCATGTGTTGTTATGGCTTGCCTTTCATTCAGGTTTTGAACTGGTTGCTAAATAACCATCACTGTTTACGAAGACTTATTGTCACTTCCCTTCCACAGAGGCAAGGCAACTGTCACTTTTACAATCCATCTTACTGGACACCTTGGATCTCTCAAATGACACAAGAAGTCTGTGTGGAGAACCAGCTTTGTGACCAGCAAAGAGCACTATTCTTACTCTAAAATATATATTGCATTAGATGTCAAATCTGTGTTTGAACCTTGCTTTAAAAATACTTAACATAATGAAGAACTCAGGTTAGTTAAATTGCTAAGAGGCTTTGTGTCAAATATATCAACATAATTTTATAAGTAAGAATCTTTAAAACATTAAATTCCAAAATCCACGAACATCCAAGCTGTACTCCATTTTATTTTCCAAAATATAAGCATATGGTCCATTTAAAATTAATTAATTGCCTACCATGGCATTTTTATTACTAAGTATGTGCACTATTTATCTTAAATATATTCCAATCATTATCATATACTAAAATTCAATAAATTTTAAATATAACACAAAATAAATATTTTACTCTGTTCTTAAATGCAGCCTGATTACAGAATAATTACTGATTGGTAACAAATGTTTAATTTAGTATTTAGGTGTATTATAGGCCAAAGTAAAGGCATACATGGGACATGGGGCCACATTCCATGACAGAAAGGTTCCAGAGAAATGTTTGATCATTCTTTGTGATGCATAAAATATGTCACAGCTGTACTATAAAAGATATCAGCCATCAGGTAAGGCTGTCATTTGCCCTTGCTGGATTGTATTGGAAAAACACAGTGTTTCTGCCTTGTACTTGTGTGGGATTACTGCTGGAGAAAACACAACCTATTTAGTCTACATACATATTACCATTACCCTGCTCTATTTCAAAAGAAAGTAGTCATAAAATAAACATGGTGAGGAGAATAGATCTGGTTGATATTTTGTTTCAACATACACCCATTTCATAAGTTGTGAATATGCTAAGTACTGGTCTACATTAAAGCTAGGTTCTACAAAAGGATTGCATATTTCTCTGGGGACTAGTTCCTTTCATTTGATTTCTGTTGTGCACACATCTTATTTTAGTTCAAAATCTAAGCCTGTGTCACAAATAATATGTATAACAAAAGAACAATGGCGGTAAAAAGAGACCAAAATTTGTAAACATTTACTACATTTTCCGTTAACTCACAGATTTTTTTAAAAAATGTATTTATTAAAGCATCCATACTATTAACCTACTAATCAAAATACATAGAAATTATAACTGCTAGAATTTTAGTAGAATTTAAAGATTTTGTGTCCACAATGTTTGCCCATCAGGAAACACCTTTATCAAAAATTAATACCTCATTATTTATTGGGTAGAGAGGAAATTTGATACTCCACCATAGCAAAAATTGCCGGTTAAAATAACCTTGGAGACTGGCCTTTGTGAACATTTATTAAATGTAGTATGGTCACATAAAATATAATATTATAATATGGGAGATGTAGGAAGCACACCAAACTGTGTTGAGTAGACCAGTAGTTAAAGTTTATAACAGCTATTGCATCAAACAGTATCTTTACTGAGATGTAGAGATAGATGCTATTCTCTTCTAGTTTAATGTATTTACAGTTTTAAGTAATGAGTTTAGTGTTGTCGATTTGAGAATTTTCTCTGGGGTCTTTTGGTGTTCAAAATTACTCTAATTTACAGAATGAAACACTATCATTAGTTTAAAAAAAGCCACAAGAAAAACAAAAATGGAAGATAAGGAATATTATCATAAAGGTAAATTTATTCATATTCACATGAAATGATACACAAGCTGATGAATAACAATCACAGCTTTCAAGACCATTAGAATCAATTTTACCTGTTGTGTAAATATCTTGGGGCTTTCAAAAACTTTTCAAACTTAACCAGATGTATCTAAATCACAGTTTTAACATTATTTGCTCAGTAAGAAAATGAAAGTCATTATTTTTTTAATTGAGTTTGAAGAAACACTTTTCACAGAGAATTAACATACGGCACAACAGACAAAATCGATTAAGGCCCGCCATCTGGCAGAAGTCTAGAAAAGTTGCTGCCATATGTTTTGACCAAGACTGCAAAATAAACTGTTTTATACTGTCAGCACCTCCAGTCCTGTTTTATAAATTACATTTGGTTTTATTACATATATGAAAAAGATTAGGAAAGGTTTCATCTAAGACTGGCTGCTTAATTGGAAAACAGACGCTATATAAAATTTTAAAACAGGCACAGGGTGATTTGAGCTCAGTTTGAAAGCTGTTTGACAGCTGTAAGTAACAAAAGTGCAAGGATTGCTATAAATTGTTTATTAGGCAGATCTTTAATTCTTAATGGATTATATTTAAATCATTCTTCAAGATTCAACAATTGTAGCTTTTCTTTGACAATTACAGAAGAAAGTGTGATACACAATTCCTAGGCAGAGGGGAAGAATGTTCATGAAATTCATAGGTAACATTAAGAAGTGGTGAAATGAAAAAAAAAATGAACAAAACACTTTTTTTTCTTAAAAGGATATAGTTTCATAAAGAATAGATTTTAAAAATCAGTATATATGTATGTTTCTGTTGGAGAAATAGCATCTCAGGTTCAAATGAAATTTAGGAATGTTAATCTCTTTTGCAGCTGCTATTTTTGTTTTATGCTATTTTTACAGCTGTTTTTAATTTCTTTTAAGAAATACTAAACCTTTCAGAGTATTCCCAAGTGAAACACCATGGTACAGATAATTGGTTTCATTGCAATTCAGATTATGAACATCATTTTTCAGTTGTTACTTTCAAACTATATACACAGCTAAATCTGTAAGCCATTTTCTTTATTTCAGCTACTATCAAAAAGGGAGAAAATAGCATAAAGTATCACAAAGCCTTAATGCCTTGTGAGGATCTGTGATGTTTGAAAGTGTTTACTCTCTACTGAGAAATGTTCATAATAAATGCAAAACTATCTTCTAAGATATTTATGTTTATGTATATATATGTATATATACATATATATGTAAACAGATCAATTAGTCGAGGCATAAGGCATTATAAATTGACCTCTCTATGCATCCCAAAATCCCTAAATCCCTGTATTTGGAAGAGGTCCATTCAAAGAGAATATGGGTAAAAAAGAAGTTTAATTCAGTTTTGAATAAGTTTCATGACAACTGTAACTGAAGAGCTGTTAATAAAATCTCCAACATTTCCTCTGTCCTGTGCTTTGCGCACATCACATACTAGTTTGCTGTCAAAACTCTTGTAGGAAAAAAACCCTATTTTTTCCTCCCACCCTTTCCCTCTCCTGAGCCTCTCGAAGTACAGAGGACAAAGTGCTAAGCAACACCTGGATATTTCCTTTTATCCTGATGTTCAACATGTGGCTCCACATTGTATTTACGACATATCCTCTAAGCCCTGAAGCAAATAAGCTTTTATTTTTCTTCATAGGCTTCTATCTATGTCATTGCCGTAATATCATTGTGCTTCATAAGGAGTAACGAATTTATTCTCAGAACACTCTTATGAGATCAGGAAATACTTGAATGAATATTTACTATGACAGAACAAAGAAAGCCATTGAGAGGTGTAGTAACATTTCAAGCAAAGCAGAAGCCCGGAGTACTCAATTTTAACCCATGGCATCTTTCACAAGACAACTCTCAACATTTCCAGAGGATCTTAGCTCACTCAGGTCGATCAAAACTTGCTTTATTGTTGCCCAATGGAGACCTAACTCATACTGATCTGAACTTGTACAGTTTGATTTTGACCTGAAATTAAATGGAGAACAAAAGTCAAATACTTATGTGATCAAATAATAAATGACCTTATCAAAATATGTGCACACAAGGAAGTCAAGTTCATGCTGCACGTGTAACCTCGACTTTGTCATTTCCATACACCAAGTGTTTCTGGTTTTTTTGCACGTTTCCCTTAACACTAGAGGTAGGAGGCAGTGTTGACATTAAAATATTTGTAAAGGGCACTTGACAAATGCAGAAAATTCAAAAATATTTTGTTGCTTGGCAAACCAACAGTGAAATTTTTATTCAATATATCTTTTATCCATACTTTTTTAAAAATATCGTTATATATATTTACAAATGGTGGGACAGACAGGCTCATTCCATATATATATATATTATATACCTATGTGTATATATATATATATATATATATATATATATGTCTTTGAAGTCTTGCTTACATATGCATCTTCACTTAATTAAAAAAAAAAAAAGAAAGAGAAGGAAATTTTCAAGTTCTGCTTTACTCCCTATGGACTGTCACTCATTTTGGAATTCCTGTGAGCTAGACACGTGCAGAGAACCACAAAGAATATAAAGCAGACATTTATGACAACAGCTACAGATTTCACCATGAATTCATGTAAACCCTTAGCCTACTTCACACATCAACACCAATTTCACTGCAGCACTAAGAGACACAGTAAGACTGATCCCTAGGCTAAATTTCATTTCTTTAGGCAAATACTCATTGTCATCTTGATGACTTAGGAACTCCTCTTTTTAAAAATGGAATATACAGGAGTATATTTATTTAATCTTAACTTATAGACAGTGAGACTTAGGGCTTATTAAAAGAGAAAAAAGTGATTAGATGAACAATTAAAAATATATCACACAGTTATTTCTATTTTGTAGCTAGCTATTAGGAACTTGCCTGTTTGTTTTCAGCTCAGGTCTTCATTCAAAAATAAGTTTTGCAATTTAAATTGGTAAAATAATAGTTCTTCATGAGTATTCATCATCAAATTTCTCAGGAAACTATGTTCTGAGGTAAAGTCTTGTTTTTACTGACAGCTACTTTGTATTTTTATTGATAATCTGAAAAAACATTAAATTGTTGCCTGCAAAGCTTTCAGGCCATATAAGAATTGATGAAGAAGAAAGTTATTATGAGGACACGTTAGTATTAGCAAGTGATACACATTTCTTGTGTAACTGATCTCAGACCAACAGCATACACCTTATGGCAGACACATGGACAGTTGTACATCTGGCAACAGAACTGGATGATTATACTTAGGAAATTATTCTTAATTAGTGTTAATATCTGTATTAGATATTAATATGTATATTAGTATTAATATCTGTGCCTACCAGCACCATTTGGTCTCTATGGTGGACCTGGTCCCTGGTTATATAGACAAGGAAATAATAAGGATAATATTCAACCTTGTAGAGTCAGATATTGAAGAAGTACTCAATTTATTATGGTGATGAAGGTCCTGGGACTCAGCAGTTCCTAAAATAAAAGATTTGTATAAACAAGAGAGTTTTTTTGCATATTCTGGGTGTCTTTGACCATAATAAATTTGTAGGGCCAAAGCATTTATAAAGAAAGTTGAATGAGAGAAATATGGAAATTAATGTATATTTTATGAAAGAATTTATTACATTATGTGCGAAATTAGAATAGAAAATGTGAATTTTTTGGCCAATATTTTAATACTGAAAAAAAAGTAATGTGCCACCCATATATTATATTATATTGTTCAGTATTTATAGCAATTACTTCTGGATCAAAATTCTCTTTGGATATACTAAAAGTATAAGTTATAAATAGCCAAGTTGTTTTCAGGTAGAGGTTTGGTTTGTTTTTTTTTCTTTCTTAAAGCCAGACTCAATTTATAACTCACATTTTATAAGAAAAAAAAACAATATCCATCATTGTTATTTATAACACATATCTAAAGATTACAGAATGGAGATATTGTGGGCATTTGTATTTTTCCTATCTTTTCACTTTTTGCTACTAACAGGATTTGGCATATGGTTTTTCATAATTTCTTTCACACAAGCAATCAGGTGGTGTTTCTTTTGTTTTATGAATGTTTGCCAGGGGAATAAGAGACTGAACTTTACTCTCACCCCCACCCCCCAAAAATAAGAACATATAAAAGAAATTATATGAAAACCACAAAAGCTTACAGAATAACTCAAGGGGAAATCTCCTGTCTGACTGTTTTCCAATAACCTGGATTCAAAGGC